AAGGGGGGAGTGGGGTAGGGGGTGCATAAAGATTGGCTTAGGAAGATCGAGAGTGAAGGTCAGTGTATTTTTGAGAAAACCGCAAAACTATAAGGTTACTCATTCTTCATAAACAATATTTGAAGCTAATGAGCTCTCTCTCTAAAAAAGCAATCTAAGCGCCCAGCTTTCATATCCGTAGTGAAGTTATGAATTCTATATATATAAACAGCAATGCCTTTGCGATGGACATGCATTGAGTAAAAGCTTTATCATAAAAAAAGGCGAAGTTATCTTCCTAAGTAAGTATGCTTCCCGTCTAAAACAAGTATACAATCATACAAAAGTCAAAATCAATTAACGAAAAATGGAAGTCCAATGACTTTGACATTATACTCTATAGCTAACTAATAACTTATACTCTTTGGCTTATATCTTTGTGCGTGCAGATAATGAAGCCTTTCAATATCTCATATTAATATATTAGTATATAAAGTAAATTCCAAAATGCTTTATTTTATTACTGAAAAAGGCTGGTACTACTATATTTGGTAATTATCAAAGTAGTAGCTTGACCAAAATATATAGCTTGTATCATTAACTTCTCATCCAATTTCTCATATATACTCTCTTTTAGAAATATTTAAACAGTGAATTACAAAAGTATATATATATATATATAGCTTATACCATACACTTCTCAATCAATTGGTTAAATAATTCTGAGCAAGGATCGATATATTTTGCTTAAAATGAAATCCGATCCGAGCTATAAGCAACAAGATGTGTTTTAATGTGCTTTTAACATAATTCGATCTACTGGATATTTATGGATCAATTAACGTTTTACTTTCCTTAATTATCTTTCTCTCTCTTTTTCTCTCGCTCTCTCTTTATCTTTCTCTCTTGCTCTCTTGCTCTCTTGCTCTCTCTCTCTCTCTTTCTCTCTTGCTCTTTCTCTCTCACTCTTTCTCTCTCACTCTCTCTCTCCCTCTCACTCTCTCCCTCTCACTCTCTCTCTCTCACTCACTCTCTCTCTCTCTCACTCTCGCACTCTCTGTTTATCCACCACAAATCTTTATCTCGTTGATCTCTCTTCTTCTTAGACAATTATATCCTTACAATAACACGCCGCGTGATAAATCCATATACCAAAAGTCACTCTAGGATTATATATATACCCTGTTAGTGTATTTCAGATAAGCTCTTACACCTATCTCTTTCCTCTTTTCAATATACACGCACGCACTCAGAGATCCCTCTACCAGTCAATTGGCTGCACCAATACAAAATATATGATATTGTCTATTTCTTTTTATGTCTTCTTACAAACTAAGGATGCTAATTGATAATTCGGATAGTGTGCGCTTTTTTGTAAACTGGTATTACCAATCGGTGGTGCAGACAGCCTTTGTGTACCCGATAGTAAAAGAACCATAGCAGGGCCCATTTACAGGGACACTGTTATCCATATGGAGGTTGAAATACCGTTCAGTGTTCACTTACAGTTTCTGAGAGAGGATAGTATATTAATGTGACCTTCACTGCGCCGTAATCACAACAAAAAAAAATTCTTTTTTAACGATGGCTTGAATCTTCTTTCAACATTCCCTCCATCCCGCCATCTTTGTCAAGGATCTTCATTCCTGTTGGGGATCGTCATTCATATAATATTGCAACTTAAAGTAGAGAAAAAATGTCGCAATATAAAAAGAGAGCACACTCTTTTAAAAAAAAATCGAAATACTCTTTATTTTTCCTTTTTGACGACTGTTCACTGTATACACAGCTCTAACAAAAATAAGCCCTTGGTCAAACCTTCGTGTCCCTATAAACTTCGCACTGCTTTCAAAGTCGACAGTCATCACCACTCTACTGTTTTCTTTTTTTAACTCTGTACTAACAACAACTTCGCACTGCGTCCAAAGTCGACAGTCATCACCACTCTATTGTTTTCTTTTTTCAACCCTGTACTAACAACAACTTTACACTGCGTCCAAAGTCGACAGTCATCACCACTCTATTGTTTTCTTTTTTCAACCCTGTACTAACAACAACTTTGCACTGCGTCCAAAGTCGACAGTCATCACCACTCTATTGTTTTCTTTTTTCAACCCTGTACTAACAACAACTTTGCACTGCGTCCAAAGTCGACAGTCATCACCACTCTATTGTTTTCTTTTTTCAACCCTGTACTAACAACAACTTTGCACTGCGTCCAAAGTCGACAGTCATCACCACTCTATTGTTTTCTTTTTTCAACCATGTACTAACAACAACTTTGCACTGCGTCCAAAGTCGACAGTCATCACCACTCTATTGTTTTCTTTTTTCAACCATGTACTAACAACAACTTTGCACTGCGTCCAAAGTCGACAGTCATCACCACTCTATTCTTTTCTTTTTTCAACCATGTACTAACAACAACTTCGCACTGCGTCCAAAGCCGACAGTCATCACCACTCTACTGTTTTCTTTTTTCAACCCTGTACTAACAACAACTTCGCACTGCGTCCAAAGCTGACAGTCATCACCACTCTACTGTTTTCTTTTTTCAACCCTGTACTAACAACAACTTCGCACTGCGTTCAAAGCTGACAGTCATCACCACTCTACTGTTTTCTTTTTTCAACTCTGTACTAACAACAACTTCGCACTGTTTCCAAAGTTGACAATCATCACCACAGTAACGTTTTCTTTTTTGAAACCTGTGCCAACACTAGCTTCGCCGTACTATCAAAATTGAAACCAACAACCACAGTAATGTTTTCTTTTTTGAAACCTGCACCAACACTAGCTTTGCCACACTATCAAAATTGACACCAACAACCATATTATTTCTTTACTTTATTACAACAGTAAAATAAAAATTGAAATAATAGCCATATAACAAAATCTTGACACTCAAAAGCGATACATTATTTTCTTCTACACTTAGAGTGTCATACACTACCATTCTCAGAATTAGCTTTCAACTTTTGCACATATATACTATTCGTATTATCATACTTCTGAAACCTTCTTATTCCATTCCATTGCATATAACTTTCAAAGCTGTCGACTTTTAGTATATCTTTGTGTGACTGATTCTAAATCAGGCGGACACTACCGAGCACAACAGCCCACTATAGAAATCTTTTTTTTTGATCAGTGTACACCATGAATGTCAAAACTCTGTCCCACGCATCACATACACGGGCCACCTACAAATACTGCCTACAAATAACATCTTTCTTTAACTCACCACTTACTCTTTACTATATAAAAAGAATATACTACTATTAAAGCTTTATACTTTTAAATAAAAATAAAATAAAATAAAATCGCAGTCTTGTTCTCATATATTATATTAGAATATATTATATTATTTCATATACTTTTAATAATAAATTGAACTTTAATTGTACACCAATAATTTTTAGAAAGTATATATCTATAATTCTTTTTCTTTTTGTTTTATTTTTCTATTTGTGTCTATGCTCATGTTTGGTTAGATTGTTTTCCAATAGGTGTCTCTTCCTTCTATAAGCTTTGTAAAATATACTATACTAAAACTTATATTAAATAGAATGAATGGGTTATAAAATAATATAAAAAAGTAACAAATTATGTATACAGTAGAATTTAATACTCAAGATATATATTATTTATTAGTCAACCAATAAAGGGTGAGTATGCACAATGAGCAAAACACATATAGTTTAACCAATAAGTAATGAGTATGCGCAATGAGTAAAATACATATAGTTTAACCAATAAGTAATGAGTATGCGCAATGAGTAAAATACATAGAGTTTAACCAATAAATAATGAGTATATACGATTATTAACTACATTAAACTCTTGGCTGCAAACTAAAGTAAACTTGTAGGATTACTAAGATATGTATTTATAGTCAACCAATAAATAATACATATGCATCATTATTAAGAACTATATATCTTTGCAAACCAGTAAAGCATGTGACTTCACTATGAGTAAGAAATATTTTATTGGTTAAAAGACTAGTAGATATGCAAGATTAAGCAGAGCTATATTCTCAGTTAACCAATAGAGAGTAAATATTCATATTCATAAGACATATGTTTTTAGTCAACCAATAAATTGTAAATGTATATCATTATTAAGAACTATATTTTTTGCCAACCAATAAAGAATGCAGTCTCAAGATTTGTAAAGTTGTTTTGCAGCTAAATCAAGAAAGGTGCATATGCAGGATGAATGAGAATTAAAATTTCAGTTAACCAATAAAAAAAAGAATATGTAATATCAGCAATATGATTCTGTCCGGATCGGCCGCCTATTACGTTCGATCTGGACTGAATGGATATTTCCGACAATCTCGGACCACCGGAATCCAAAAGAAAGTAATATCGTAAAAACATATACGCTAGTAATAATAACTTTACTTTCTTATAAATCTAAAGCTTGTATCATATATCTCTCAAATAATTTCAAAATAACCCATATATCTTGTCTCCTCAAGATTCTAATTAAAGTTGTATCGGTTTTAAGCTATAGATAATAATATAATATACATTTTAATATATTCTTATAATCAATTTCTTCTACGATATATATATAAATTGTTCACAATGGCATTGTTCTTTTTTGTTAATACTTTAAATGTATAATAGGCACTATATATATATATATATATTCACACAATCAAAGCTATGTTTTCTAGTGTATTTAATATTTGCAGTACTATCTAGGTGCGGACCCATTTCTTTATAATTACACTCGGTGGAATTTAATCAAAGAATAATAACCTACAGAATAATATTATCGAGTTATTTTGAAACAGTCGGTATTTATAGTCAAAATTTTACCCTATAACTATATATATAAACTGCTATTGTATCTTAAATACACTGTTAGGTGTATATATATATATATATTCTTCTTCTCTTCAACATACACCGATACAGACATACTTCAGTAATCACTATCGATTGATATATTTATATATAGCTCTTACTTTATTTTAGATATACTGTCCAGCCTATTTTCTTTCTTCCCTTCAACATGCGCGCACACACACTCACACCCACATCCACATGCGCGCGCACACACTCAGGCATCTGCCTACCAGTCAATTGGCTGCACCAATACAAAATATACGATATTGTCTGTTTCGTTTTATGTTTTCTTACAAACTAAGGATGCTAATTGGTAATTCGGATAGTGTGCGCTTTTTTGTAAACTGGTATTACCAATTGGTGGTGCAGACAGCTTTTGTGTACCCAATGGTAAAAGAACCACAGATGGGCCCATTGACAGGGACACTGTTATCCATATGGAGGTTGAAATACCATTTAGTATTCACTCGAAACTATTTGGAGAGAAGTGTATATTAAAATAACCTTTGCTGTGCCGCAACCAAAACAAAAAAAAATGTTTTTTTAACAATGGCTTGAATCATCTTTCGACATTCCCAACATTCCTACATCCCTCTCAAGGATCTTCATTCCTGTTGTGGATCGGCATTCATATTGTATTGCAACTCAAAGTGAACCAAAAGCGGCGCAATACAAAAACGGAAGCGCACTCTTTTTAAAAAAAACCAAAATATTCGTTGTTTTATCTCCTTTTAGACGGCTGTCCATAATATATATGAGTCGAACAAGAAATAAGCCCTCAGTCATATCTTCGTGTCCCTACAAACTTCTCGACGCTTTAAAAACCGACACCAATAACTACAATATTCTTTTTTTTTTATTACGCCTAGCAACACCAGCTTCACAACGCTATCAAAAGTGCTATATACCACTGTTCTCAGAACTACCTTTAAGCTTTTGCACGCACATAACACTTGTATGCTTATACTTCCAGGACTGTCTTCAGTGACAATGACCTCATCCCATCATACATATTCTCCAAAGCTTCCGACTTTTAGTATATCTTTAAATAACTGGTTCTAGACCAAACAGAAATCACCCATCACAAAGTCCTACCATTGTAATCTCTCTTTACAGGCCCACACAATAATCCTCAAATCTATAATAATAATAAAATTGTTACACACCCTAATTCTCAAACCCTTCTTATATAAAAAAATCATTTCTTACACACTGCCTCCGTCTATCTCACTATCCCGCACTCTTTACATAATACAAATACTCTACTATCAAAACCTTCTCGATATTCTTAAAATAAAATTGCTGTTACAATGCACTCTCATTCTTCTTCAGCCTTTCACTTTAATCAATTCGACTTGGTTTAATTATAAGCATATTATTTATATATATATATATAGCTTTAAAAAATATTATAAGAGATGTATGTGTAGTTAAGATATGTGTAATCGAGGTTTGTGTGTGTGTGTGTGTGTTTGTGTGTAGGTGAGGTATGTGAGAAGGGGGGAGTGGGGTAGGGGGTGCAATAAAGATTGGCTTAGGAAGATCGAGAGTGAAGGTCAGTGTATTTTTGAGAAAACCGCAAAACTATAAGGTTACTCATTCTTCATAAACAATATTTGAAGCTAATGAGCTCTCTCTCTAAAAAAGCAATCTAAGCGCCCAGCTTTCATATCCGTAGTGAAGTTATGAATTCTATATATATAAACAGCAATGCCTTTGCGATGGACATGCATTGAGTAAAAGCTTTATCATAAAAAAAGGCGAAGTTATCTTCCTAAGTAAGTATGCTTCCCGTCTAAAACAAGTATACAATCATACAAAAGTCAAAATCAATTAACGAAAAATGGAAGTCCAATGACTTTGACATTATACTCTATAGCTAACTAATAACTTATACTCTTTGGCTTATATCTTTGTGCGTGCAGATAATGAAGCCTTTCAATATCTCATATTAATATATTAGTATATAAAGTAAATTCCAAAATGCTTTATTTTATTACTGAAAAAGGCTGGTACTACTATATTTGGTAATTATCAAAGTAGTAGCTTGACCAAAATATATAGCTTGTATCATTAACTTCTCATCCAATTTCTCATATATACTCTCTTTTAGAAATATTTAAACAGTGAATTACAAAAGTATATATATATATATATAGCTTATACCATACACTTCTCAATCAATTGGTTAAATAATTCTGAGCAAGGATCGATATATTTTGCTTAAAATGAAATCCGA